ATTCCGATGAACGGATCCGGTGACCGAATTTATCCGATTCCGGGTGGAACCAACAGGAACTTAGCAAAACTGGCAGCCGGATACGATCACCGGATTTCTGCGTCGAATTTCTGGCATTTTCCCGCAGGTTTCGGCCAGAAGCTGTGTGTTTTCTGCGGATCTTCGCCGGAAATTCACGGAATACTGGTTCAGAAATCGTTGACCTGGGTAATGACACCTTTCAACGGCTTAAATGAATTTACTGATACAAGACTTGATCGGTTTTGTTCTGAAGCTTTACCTAAAATTCATCATAAACTCGAATAGCTCAATATTGAATCATTATATATGGAATGTATTCTTCTTGCAACAAATTATTCTGTTTTACATGGTCTTGGTTTATGTGATCTTGCATTAGAAGCGGCTCGAGATCTCTTTACTGATAAGATATTTTCTTCAATTCTTTCAATGATTAATTATATGAAAATACTAAAATAATTTATCTGAATATATACTTTACACAATCAGAATTTGATTTATGACGGATATTTTATTGATATAATAGTTTCGCTAATAATATTTATCAATAAATAGCAATTTGAAGAAAATTCAAAATAAATCAAGAGCGGAAAAGAGAGACTTCGCACTCCGAAGTACAGGTAATGGACAAATGGAGTACAGTATAGTACACTTCAGTTGTACATCGTTGTAGACTGTCTTGCTTTAGTCCCCTTGAAAGAAACGACATCACCTGTAAGAAAATTCAAATACTGTTTTATAATGTCTTCGATTGAAATACTGTGATTCTTAAAGTAGATATTCTATAGTATAAAATCAATGGTCAAGATAAAAAAAAAACACATTGACGATATAATATATCTGTTAGAGAATTTGAATGAAGATAACATAAAACTGATTTATTAATGAGGAAAAGAGATTAGAATATTTTGAGTTACGTAAGAAGTAATTTTATAGAAATATTCAATGTTTATTTAGATGGAAGGTTTTTAATTCGTGTATTCCTTCCTTAACAGTTGAAAGTTTCCGCTTGATCATTATTGGAAGAGGATCTTTCCAACAATATAAAGAGGTCAATTACTTTCTTTGGCGAAATCTGACATCAAATGATAACTTTTAACGAGAAAATTTCAAACAAACTTGGACCTTTTCACTTCGTAAATTTTCAACAACTACACAAACGGAACTCACTTTAAAATTTACAAATTTTTGTTTTTTGTTCTAAATGTTGATTTTACTTGTTTCTGAGCATCCTCACTTTGAATAATTCCAACTAGAACAGTCGTCTTCGGCAGCAAAACCATATAACAAAATTTCTGAGTTAAATGGTAGGAAGCTTTTCTTTTCAAAAAGACTATAGAATAAGACAGGATTTTTGAAGAATCGGTCAAAACATTTTGCTTCGCGAAAACTAACATCTGCATTAGCATAATCAATGAAACGACCTTTTCATTTTGTTTTTCTTCAAAATTTTTGACTTGAGCGTAGAATGCCTTTTTCCGAGCAGGCTGCAAAACAACACATCGATTTTCCAGGAGTTTACAAAAAAACTCTCGATTGAAGACAAATGAACTAGGTTTTAGTGCAAATTATTTACTTCTCCCATAGTCCATCTTTTTGCATAAAACTTTGATTGAAAACAACAAGACTTTAATAAATTTTTAGACTACTGGAAAATACTACACCAGGTCTACTGTGAATCTTTGATTCTCCATCCCAAAGTGTATCATTTCGAGTCACCACTCATGTACCAAGACTTCTATCAGTTAATTAGCTAATTTGAATACTTATAGCGTTTGTTTTAATTGAACATTTTTGTTTTGTTCAGTAAAGCTGATTTGTACTAGAAATCGCTTTAGTCATGGGCTTATTTGTTGCGAAAAATAAACATTTTAGAGCGTTCCTCGCATGAAGAAAGCTCAATATGAACTCTTTCAGCAAACGATACGCTTCTATCAGTAGGTTTTTTTATAGCACAATCTTGAATTTTGAAAACAACATTGTATACCCCATTTGAAACCTTATCAGATGGTAACCCTGGTTAGTAAAGATGTTCTTGTTCGATCAATTGTATCAACTGAAACAAATACAAATATTAATACACAAAATTTAAAAGACATTACAGATCTTATGAATAAACTTACTGAATTTTATTTTTATAATTAAAAAAAAATTGTTTATTTATTTTGTTTCTCAAATAAAGCAACAATTCATAGTCAAATCGATGAATATTCTAAAAAACGTACTGCTTAAATGAGTGAAACTGCATCAAGTGCAATTGATAAAGCTGTTGCTGATACAGCAGCTCAACAACAACAATTATCTGAAGCAAATGAAAGTTCAGCTGCAACTGAACTTGAATAGAAACAATGTTTACAAGAATGTATTGTTCTATTAGATTCAGATAAAGCTGTTTTATTAACTGAATTTGAACGAGCTTTAAATGAACATCTAGATGGTATTTTACTTAAAGCAAGGCAAGATATTAAGTTGTTACAAGATGCAGCTAATCAACAAAAAATGACTGCTTTTAAAGAAGTACAAGCACGAGCTCATCAACAACAAGTTGATCAAATTACAGAAAAGTCATCGAACTTGCTGCTGAAATTACACAACGACGAAATTTTGTAACATGCGAAAAATGAGAATAAAAAGCAGAAAACGTTAACTTTTAAAATAAAAAAAAAGATGACATAGTTTATTGTCTTTATCTTCTTGAATTACCACCCATCGTCCTTCCTAAAAGAAAGCATGAAGTAATTGATCTGCCAATAATAATCGTGGTATCAAGCGTAAAATTTTCGTCTCAATTTCATTTATTGTTAATTGAATCAATTGTATTTCGGCTAAAATTTATACTTGATGTAATTTCACAATGAGGTACAATCATATCAACCCCCTCAGAAAATTTTATTTCATGCATACAAAATAAAAATTATATCATTGGTAAAAGCGTAATAAACTGAGCAAGAATCTGTAATTATCTCGGAGGGGTATACCCAAGTTCCCAACAAAAATTTTTAAAGAACGATTTCCCGCAAAAATAGCTGTGTTCTTTTCGTTCTGTCGATCTCTCACTGAACGATCTATTTTTTCGTTCTTTCATCTTTTCTTTCTGCTTTACATTCAAATTGGCTTGTCCATATATTATTAAGTTATAGTTGGCACGGAAATTCAGTTGAATTTAGAATAAATGTTAATAGTATATGTTATACGACAATTCATGTTGTTTTACTATTGTATTCAACTTTTGTAATTTTAGCGATTCTAAATGATTAGTCGAACTTCTATGATTTATTTTGAATTATTTCCAAATATTTACATCTAAAAAGTATTCATTTTAACCATTCTGATTTAGTAACTATTAGAATTGTATCAATTTTATTCATTTTCTTACAATTAATCGTTCGATGTTCCATGCTATGGAACATTCAATCAAGAAACACATTCTATGGCTGTTTGTTTTTAATTACATAACTTATACATTGTCTTTTTCATATGGGTATCTTAGAAAAAAGTGAATATTCTAAATTCTAAACTACAATCTTAGATTTTTAAACTTACTCAAAATAAGTCTATCGAATAGATAATCAACATACGATTTATAGCCCAATTAATTATTACTCAATCAATCAAAAACCAGATCGACTGTTATTCTAAATAGCATATTTCATTCAATTTCAAGTTATTAACAACGAATTTGCTAACATTAAATATTTAGTCAATTATTCGGTTGTCCCATATCACGAGCATCGAAGAAAACAACTACTTTATAAAAACAAATAGATGAAGTACGCTCGATTTCGTTTCAACCAATGATTCATTCTTCCGATGCCCTGCAGCTTCAAAAAAAAGTCTATTCTATAGAAACAAATAGCTCAAGTACTATCCATTTCGTTTCACCTAATCGTTTAATGTCCTCATGTTTCAAACACCGGTATAGAAACTAAACCATAAGGAAAATAAGGAGAAAATTTTACTTTTACAAGATAACCATAAATAGAATGACTAATGGCTCTTAAAAACAAACTAACAGTATGAAGATAATTTTTATTGTCCGAGAAGTAATAGTAAATGTAAATTTTACAAGAAACAAACAAGTTTTCTTGACAATGTATTGGAAAAGATTTTACACAAACACAGTCAACTAAGTGATTCCAATCTCAACTAAATTCCAAAGTCAAGTGCAACAAATTCAACGACGAAGAATATTTTTTAGATCATTTATCCACCTTATTGCATGCTCTTAAATCTCGAGTATTTTCAAATGACGTCAATAGTCAATTAGCAGCCATCATTTTAGTGGAAAATGAAATGTCTTAAGGATTAAGCTGAGAAAAATATGACGTGAGGATCAATAGCCTTTTTTTATCTTTCCTTCATTCAAACACGTTGAAAGTCAGAAGATGAATGAAGCAACAGTGCAACTGACACGATGGCCCATGATAGCACTGCTAGTGGCCGGTCAGACAAGTAATATATTGAGTGTTCTTGTACTTTCTCGACCGAAACTACGAAAAAATTCGTGCTCTCTTTATTTACTTGCTGCGAGTATTAGCAATGCAACGTTTCTCTTCCTCGGTCTCATCCTCAGTGGCCTTAACAAGGGTTTTGGTATAAATATTCTCAGCCGATCTTCTTTTCTTTGTAAACTTATACCATATATTTATTACGGTACACTCTTTCTTGCTTCTTGGTTTATTCTCATTGCATGCATCGATCGATATTGTTCCACTCATCAACGAGTTCATATTCGTCGACTTAGTCAATTCAAAATAGCCAAATGGGTTATAGTCATAACTACATTAGTCTGTTGTATTGTTCACACTCATATTATAATCGAAGTAACGTTCTTTGGAATCGGTCTATGCACAATTCTCTCATATGTTTATATACTCTTTCTCTACGGCTATATTATGGCTGTCTATGCATTTATGACACCCATTCTCTATATTATCTTTGCTTTACTCACCATTTCAAATGTGAAGAAGACAAAGAGAATAATGGTTAATGCGGCTAGCAGAAATGGAATACGTATTCAACCACACATTCCACATCAATCACTTAATGCTCAACTTCTTCGCATGCTTCTTGTCCAAGTAAGAAAAGTTTACGTCATATCTAATATAGTAACTGTTTCTCTTTATAGGTAGTGTCCTTTGTTGCGTTGACTATGCCATTTTCAGCATGGGGTGTCTATACTGGTGTCAGTCTTAATTGGAGCAAATCACAATGGAGACGTGATCTGGAGGCTCTTCTCTCTGTTTGTTTTACTTTCTTAGTCTATGTCAATAATGGCTTATCTTGCATTGTCTATGCGCTTACTGCTCGACTCTTTCGTCAAGAACTTCGAGCTCTCTTCTATTGCAGATGGAGAAAATTTTTAAGACATCAACAACATGGTAACATATTTTTACTTTCTCAACGCATCGCTCCTGTTCCTGCTCGACAAATGCAATCTAAACGAATTAATAACTATCCATAACAAATAATTGAGTAAAATTTTCATGTTTACAATACGAATCAGTTTTATTAGCTGTACTGTGTAAATATATTCTAATTATAGTTGACTTTATTTTTATCTATGTCTGTGCGTCAAATTTATTGTATATATCTTTAGCGTCTATTCTAGTCGTTTGAATCAATGACAAGAAATAATCGGTTTGCTTCTTGTAACGTTTCACTTTTAAGACAATGCGGAAAAGTATATACGATAAGAAGTTTTTTGTACTCAGAATGTCTTGGAAACTGTGGGTGTGGGTGTGAGTATGAGTGTTAGATACATGTCTTGAAGTAACCCTCACTCACATCTACACCATCAAATAATATTCAACGTCATGTTCTTCTCTCATTACTTGATCAATGGGATGATGAAAAAAGTGAAAGGAGGTGGGTTAAATAATTTTAAACAAAATCTCCTTCTTATTTAGACCTATGTGAAAAAAAAACATTGACTGCGAGAGTTAAATATTAATTCTTTTTTTTCGTAGAATCAACTGTATTTGGTTCGATAATAATCTTTGCAGCAACAAATATTGAAAATAGAGTAACATCTAAGAATGGAAAGCAGCAACCAGCATATTTGAATCATGAAACAAAATATTAAACATCCATTAGTAATTAAACATAAGACAGTGAAGATAAAATTTTTAATACTAAATTAGAACGACTGGCAATGTAAATAAAAGATCAAACATATATCCCAATACAACACACATTAAAGAATTGTTCCCGCTGCTTGTCTTATCGAGCTTTTCTTGTCTTCATGGTTTATATGCTAAAATGGTTCATATTTAATAATTTTACCTTGGATTTGCCTTTGTATGTGTACAACAGTCCTAATAACATGTACTTTCTTCTGTTTATTTATTCGTTGTTTTCAGTTTCTATGAAGATTTACCGTAATACATGTTTTGATTCTATTTTCTTTATTAAATTGACTTCAATCGCTTGTCATTCGTTTTGGATTACAATCGTTAGACATCAAATGTTCTATAGGTAAAAGATATTTTTATCTTTTTGTTTTAATCATGATGTTTTTTTTTATATATAATCATATTACGTTTTTCCGTTTTTCAATTTCTTTTAGACAACATTAAAGAAAAATATGAGTTAAGATATTTCGTCGATAAATCTTCTGTTAAAAATTCACCTAAACACTGATTTCTACTTGTTCAGAAAGGTAGTTCTCATTATCTAGATTAATTATTTTGAAGGTGTCAACACATCGAAATTCGGATAGAAGTCTTTTATACCATGGTTTAATAGAACTTGTCCAGTTACCTCTTGTATTATTTCTTTGAACATGTTGTGACGATATTTTTGTAACGAACCTTTAGCAAAGCGGATTAAAAAGAATCAGAAAAAACTATAAAAATGAAAAAAATCATAAGTCTCAGTAATTCTCTAAATATTTATTTCAGTTTCGATCGTTATATACTTACGAAAACTATTGTTTTCTTGTTGAGAAACTCGATATTTTTGTTAAAAAATCATACTTTGCAGGGTGTAGGTGTGGATGTGGGTGCTAGTCTCTTGTCTTAACCAGCACTCACACTCGTCTATTTCAGGTATTCATTCTCGACTTCACGAGTATATGAATAAGAAAGACACTCGGATACTGTATGTGGAAATTCGAACACAAATCCACACTCATATGAAGGTCTATATTTAATTTCTTTGATTGCATCTTATCTTGAAATGCATCAGTCGTTTTGTATTAATATTCATAGTTAAGAAACTACACAATTCAGTGTAGATGTACAGAAAGAGAGAATCATCAGATAAAGTTCAATATCTATCATTATGTGCAATGATTTTCAAGTTATATGTTGATAAAGTTCATGTTTCGACTCATACCTTCTTGTAGTTAGTGCTACTATGACAACTGATCAGACTTTGCTCATGGCTAGTTTCATAAACAGGTCTAAAACGAACTTTCTCTTGATCAGTGTTTTCTGCTTGAAAATAGCAATATTTAACGAGAAGGAGAAGAGAGACCTCAAGAAATTACTTAATTGGTTGCCCCCCCCCCCTGATTTTGACTAATCCTCTATTGTACAAGGTTATCATGTAATTCATTGTTCTATGACATCTAAACATCCCCGTCGAGTGGCAAAAGAAAATTATCATGTGTCTTAGACAAACAAGAAAAAAGAGTAAAATGGATTTTTTTCCTCTGTTTTTTTGAATTACCTTTTGGACTTTCTCATTTTTAATCGGTATATAGTGAGAGTTGAAAGAGCAACTTAGGTATAGTTATGAAGTTCGGAGTGCAATTACTATCATCAAACACTGACAATCGATCTGCACTGGTATATCTTCAGATGATCGAATTGTGTATCGATTCGATTCGTATTTATCGAACAGACAACAGTCGATGATCTTCTAAGCCAAATTCGAGTTTGATTGCAGTATAGGTTTTAGCAAATGGACTCTGAATCGACCAATTAAGCGATTTTTTAATGAAACAAAAATCCTGTATAATACGTGTACTTTTCTAATTTGAATTTACTTTTTTCTTGAACCTATCGTCGTAGAAAAATACTAATCCGATCGTTTCGTTTCTTTCTTACACATATAGAAACGCATGTTTTCGATGATAAATCATTATTTCTCTTATGTCAAGCATTAACAAAGCAATCTGTCAATTGTGTTTACGCAACCCATATGACAATTCGGAGTAATAAAAGGTGACATATTGGTTAAAAAAGATCAAAAACAAGTTGGAAATAGTTCTTTCAAAACAGATCACATGATAGGGACGATTGAACACTGCAAACAACTCTGGCTATCGCAGAACGGAGACATCTGCTACCTGTACAGTCAAACTTTTTTCGAAAATGGATTCAAATATTCAACATGGAAACATGAAATGGCTATTTTGATGCTTATTTCGTAAACATATTTCTTCTGGATAATGCATGAAAACGTTACAACAACCTACTATTATATTACGAAAATATCTCAACAGTTTTTTCACTCTATAGTGATGTTTTTTTCACATGTAAAGAAAATATTTTTACAGACAAGAAGCTTCACAAGATAGTAAAAAAGTTCTATAAGGTATTTTCGTGATGTAATAGTGCATTGTTTATCTTTCCGATGTAACGTTGACACATGTTTGCATAAACGTTTGATATTCTTCGAAAAGGAAGATTCTCAAAAATTCCTTATATTTTCTATGCGATGACTTAGAATTTGCTTGTTCGGTACGATCTAAAATAACAGTTGATTACCTTGCGAATAACGAAAGATTTGTACACTAGCAAAAGAACATAACTATATATATGTTATTGATGAATAATAAGTATGATACATGGCTAATGAACATCAAATCGAAATCGAATATTTGAACATATGTTCAATGAAAAGTTTGTCTTTGTATCTGATAGAGAACTTGATGAATTTCAAAGCCAAACAATCCAATTGTTATCTTCATGAAAAGCCACAAATGGTTTTCGATCGCCATTTTAATATTGTTTTTTCAATAATCCAGGAATTGATATCGGGCTTTACATTATTATTTCTATCGATCCAGTTTGTTTTAAGTAGCATGAGATGAGAAAGATGTTGATTATCAAGTAATACATCGAGACTATCAAAATATTCTTTGCTCATTGTAAATTGAATTTTTAGTGAACGAAGATTTGGAAAATATCGTACGAGAAACATAATGGTTTGCAATGAAGATATTTGAATATTGTCAAGAGTTAAATGACGTATATTTGGATAAATAGTCGAATGCGTAGAACATCCAGACTTTTCAATTAATGTCAATGTATGAATGTGTTGTCCAATTATTGAAACAACTTCTATATTTCTAGTTTTAAGATGACGAAGTTGAGGAACACTACCAGAACTAAACTCACATTTGCATAAAACTGTGAGCGTATTGACTTTCGGAAAGCGTTGAGATAGACTTGAACATGGTTTATCAACTGTAAGATCAAGAACATTTGGGACAAATGCACATCGTATCCTCATTGGCCAACATGGATGTTTTCAATTGTTTGAACGACTAAGGTACTGTATACAAATGGCAGTAAAAATTGTTGGCCGATATTTCACATGCAATTTGTCATCGTTGATTAAATCCAACAAAAGTGTAGATTCAAAAAAAGCCAAGTAATGATTAGCAATAATATTCATGAAACAGATTACACTGACCGTCACCTCAATATAGCATTCCGTTCGAATATGACAATAGAAATGTTGAAGACGAGGCATGAACTGATCAATAATCATTTCAATTTGATGACTCTGTACAAATATATAATCAGAATGGGCCCAACTTTTTATATCGATTATCAATGTATCGATTTGACTAAGAAACTTGACAATATTGAACAAATATTCATATGTTATTTCTACTTCTTGTTTCGTAGTCAAACGAAATTTTGTTACATGAACCATTGGAAAAATATTCGATTTAAATAGTAATAATAATCGGTTACCGCCATGACTAATGCATAAAGTAACATCAAATTCAATCAAATTAGGTACAAGACGATCAAGTAGAACGAAAAGATCGTCGATTGTTCGTAATAAAATAGTTCATCGTTTGAGAAGCAAATTCGAATGTAATTGTTTATCAAGAATTATGCCCGTTGTTTACTATCAATTCAATTTTGGTAAGTTTAGTAAACTTCATACCAAAAACTATTTCACGAAGTAGTTCATGTGTTAAATGGGTCATTGAATAAAATTGTCTTTCGATATATTTTCAACTAGACAAAATGTTTGTAAAGAAGAAAATGGTTTCACATACCAATTGATCATTCCCATTTCGTATTGATTACAATCGACCAATGGTAGTTGCTGAGCATGTGTATAATCAGAACATTCCATTATTGTTAGTTTTGTTGAAAAGACAGTGCTAATTTGATTTGAAATCATTTTATTACTAATTATTAGTGATGATGGTAAAATTCGTCGAGTGGGAAATTCAGTAAAAAAATATTGTATATCCATATAAGAATACTT